CTCCCAAACACTGCCATGAAAAAGGAATACAGGTCCCAGTTCTCCAAAAGGAGTGAAGGATGTTTTAAAGAGACAGAAAACATTTTTCATATATTTTCAAGCCATTTCTTCTGTTACACCAATGCACTGAGAAATCGGTAAACCACCAAACATCATAAAGCTACTTAGTGGCAGAGCTAGGATTTGAAAGAATGTACTCTCACTCCAGTGTTTCAGATATTAACTCCTACATTATGGTACCTAGGATGTGCCCACACAGATACCTTAGGTGACAGGGATTTACAGATCAGAATTGTGGCCTTCAGAAGACAGAATGTTAATTTGATCATTCTTGGTGCAAAACTTAATCAAAGCAGAATATACTTTTCTGCACATGCCTTTTACAAATTAAGTTTTCCCTCTACTTTATGAGCCATCAATCTTGAAATTAGCAACTCAGAAATAAACATGATATTCCCTTTGAGAATACAATGATTTGGTTGTTTTCTTCTTCCACTCAGATTCAAAGTGTTTTTCCACTATGAATCTGACCTTTCCAACTTTTCTTTAGTAACTGACCATGTACATTTCCTAACATTTGACCCCTCCACTCTGGTCCAAGACACCATCATCTCTCTCCTGGAGTACTGAAATCGCCCAGCTGTAAGACACAGAATGCTCAAAAAGGAGCAAATTAAGAGGAAGTGTTCAAGTAAGGAAATGTTTAACTTGCCATAATCTTGGGTAGAGAGATCCAAAGGTAGATTTGGCATTTGGGAGAAAGTTCTGGAATGGAGATTTAGGAAGCCTTTACTGGTCAATTTATTCATGTTCTGAAGACAGATCTTACAATGTCTTTAAAGGTTTTCTCAAATGCTAAGCCAAGACTTCCCCTAATATATCACCTCCCCTGGGGAGATCAGTCCTTTATCCCCAATAGAGGGAACTCAGATGGAACCCAGAACAACCAGCCAGGCGGTAAGGGGAAGCCTCCGGAACACTAAGAGAGATGGTTCCACTCATCCTGCTGGCCAATGACAGGTCCCCGGTGTCGGACTCCATGCTCATGGGGGTCTCCAGGTCACGCTTGCTCAGGGGCTGGCTCCAGACACGCTCCAGCATCTTGAGGCCTGTGGGGAGAATGCCCAGGGCTGCTGAGACAGGGCACACAACTGGAGCCCAAGGGCAGGCCAGAACACACATGGGGACACTGTGGGGGTGTCACCCCACCCAGGTCTTCCCAGGTGACCTATTTACACCTCTTCAATATCTTCCCCTCCCTGAACAATTATTAATACATGCCACAAAAAATGGGCCCTTCCCTTCCCAAAAGACTCTCGGGACCACATGGATTCCAAGACACCCAGGTGGTTCTTCAAGAACCCAAGATGCCTTGGAACTCTGACAAGTCTCCACTAAGACCTCAACCACAGATCAGCCAGATACCTACCCTGGGCTTGACGATAGGAGTCCTGGCTTATCACGTGGGACATCATGTGCAACAGCCACTGCCTTGCACTGTAAGGTCCCACTACAGTGACGCGTGTCTGGCCTGTGGCTGTAAACCCACTCTCCAGCTGAATGAGGGTGTAGCTGTGCACCTCGATGCAGGGAAGGTACGTGTCACTCTGCCCTGTGAGCATAAGAGGTGAGAAGACTGACTGTAAGCCACCAGTGCTTGGGGAGTGGGAGGTGGGCTTGGGGGTAGAGACCTAGGACAGATGGAGGTGGGAAAGTTTGGGCAGATCAGAAGACGGGATAAAGGAGAGGGCAAAGGCAAAAGCCACTCACCGAAGATAAGCTCCTCCTGGCCCTCTTCCAAATAAAATACCATTGGAACATGAAAGTTTTCAGGCACGGTCCACCATGGCTTCTTGCCGGGAGCACTGGTTTCCATGTCCACACGCTCTGCTGCTACCTGATTCAGAAAAGGGGCAACTGCAAGCAGCTAGTTGAAAAAGCACTTGGAAAAAGTGAAGAAGGGCCAAGGCCCTCTCCCAAATATAGGTGCCTAAAGGACCCGCCTCTTGAACCACCTTAGAATCCTCGTCCAATCCCAGTAGCTCCTCTCAAGAAAATCCATTCTAGGCTGGGCGTGGTGGCTCACGCCTGTAATCCTAGCACTCTGGGAGGCCGAGGCTGGAGGATCACTTGAGGTCAGGATTTCCACACCACCCTGAGCAAGAGTGAGATCCCATCTCTACTAAAAGACAAAATAATTAGCCTGGCAACTAAAAGTAGAAACAAAAACTTAGCTGGTCATGTGTCTCATGTCTGTAGTCCTAGCTACTCAGGAGGCTGATGCAAGAAGATCACTGGAGCCCAGGAGTTTCAGGTGACTGCGAGCTATGCTGATAACAGGGCAACACATGGAAGACTATGTTTCATTAAAAAAAGAAAAAAGATAATCCATTCTATGTAACTGTCTACTCTGAGCTTAATCCTTTCATACCAAACTGAATAATGACATCAGTGCTCACCTCTCTGATGCCTAGAAACCACAATTTTCTTCATGCTAATTTCAAAGAGTTTTGAAGCAAATCTACTGGCCATGAACTAGGGCTACAATTGAGGAACAGAAGGTATTGGAGCAGGAAGGCTCCAGAATGGACTTTCTAAGTCTGGACAGGTACCAGCATCCAAGCGATGACCTTATATGTGTAGTCAAACAACGATGGGTTTATTTAATGGGCTGCATGAAGGGGCAGAAAACACCACAGGAAAATAAAGCCTTACAGGGAAATTTGTAGAAAACTAATTATAGGAGTGGCTAAGTGAGTCTAAGGAGTGTTTAGGGAAACAGTGGCCTCTTTTCTAACATGGGGCAATATGCTGATTATCTTGGTAACTTGTATTTAGGAGGTAGGGAGGCTAATATGGTCCTTTTCTTTTTCGTTCTTTGTTTTTGTTTTTGTTTTTCTGAGAAAGAGTCTCACTTTCTTGCCCAGGCTAGAGTGAGTGCTATGGCGTCAGCCTAGCTCACAGCAACCTAAAACTCCTGGGCTCAAGTGATCCTCCTGCCTCAGCCTTCGAGAGTAGCTGGGACTACAGGCATGGGCCACCATGCCCTCTTCATTTTTTCTATATATATTACTTGGCCAATTAATTTCTTTCTATTTCATAGTAGAGACAGTGGTCTCGCTCTTGGTCAGGCTGGTTTCGAACTCCTGAACTCGAGCAATCCTCCCGCCTCGGCTTCCCAGAGTGTTAGGATTACAGGCGTGAGCCACTGCCCCCAGCCAGCTAATATGGTCTTGATTACAGAGTATTGTATCTCTCTGGCTTCAAACATAGTTACAGACTGGCCTTTCTACATCTTCCCTCACAATCACTGAGTAGTCTTAACGGGTAAAAGTATTTAGCAAGAGATATTTATGTTTGGTAGGGATGATTAGAATTTACCTGTCAGCTTCCAACTGGAAGCTCCTAAGTGCTTTGCACTTCTCAGCCTCCCCTTTTGACCTAAAAAAGACAAAGTCAGCCCTCAGGACTTCAATCTGGGGGATGCACACCCATATCACTCTCAGAAGCCATTGATAAAAAGGTTAGTGGGAGAACACTGCACCTTCATATAGTTGGTGTCTATATACCTTTTCTTGCAAAATGAGATGTTGAATCCTCTGGAAAGACAATGATTGCCCAGTAGCATTTAAGCTAGTCAGGGTTCATTGGTCAACTACAATCTAGGTAATTAGTAGAAAAAAAATAATTATTAATCCTATTAATAGGCTGCAAATACAAGGGCCTAGATTTCAAAACCAGGCCATGAAATCATGTCCAAAAATCCAAATGAATCTGTTCCAGAGAGCCAGATAATCTTTTCTTTTAATCAAGTCACAATACTGTTCTACCTGACCAGGAATGTTTTAGGAAGTGGTACAAACACCATTTACTAGAAAACAAAGTTCTTCTTGGCTAGCCAAGACTATACAATCATCCATGACCACCGTGAAATTTTACTGGACCTAGTTTATTGAACCTCTGGAGAAAAAATACTGTCATTTATGACTTCTGTTAGGACCAGAGACAAATTTTGAACTACATTTCCTACTTGTATTATTCCTACTTATTGAATTGTAGCTCCCGCAGTGGAGATGTAGAGAGAGGAAATGATTAATATCTCTCCGTGCTTGCCTTGTTTTAGTTCTCTGAGTATCATTCTCAGAGAAACAGTTTCCTGTAGAAGTAGATGTTTTAAATTATTATTAGTATTAACCACTTTGGGACGGCACTCACCGGCCTTGAAACCTTGCCCACAGCCGGCACTCATAGTCCGCACAATAGTTTGTGCTGTGCATTGACGACGAATCCGTTTTGCTCCTGTGTGATGAGGAAAGCTTTAAAGCACTGACAGTTTGTTTTACTTACAGGCAGCTTTACTTGTAGTGTAAATCAGAACAGGTAACATGTACATATATGTTTTCATTGCGTTATTTTTAAATGTTCAAAATTTTATTTTGATAAGTGAAAAATTAGAAAGTCAAATCACGGCTGTCAGCTAAAGTCGCTGTGAGGGTTCATCTGTGGCTATGGACTATAGTCGACGCTCCTACCAAAGTGGTTAATAAAATAGTCTAAAGATATATTACACAGGATAGGTTTGTGTAATGATCAGGTGATTACACATAAAAAGCAGTACCTTAGTGTTGCACAGCCTATATCAGGGCTGTGTCAGTATCATTGATCAAAGTGACAGCAGGACAATTATTAATCCTTCAATATGTGAAGATGCTTGAGCGAAGGCCTGGGAGTCACTGAAGAGATAACAGACTAACACAGCAAGGAGAGCCCCAACACATTGTTGCAGTGACGTCAGAAGTCTTTTGTCGTTTGGGGTTAATGTCCAATTTTGATGAAACTGAAGGTCAGAATTAATATTGTCAGGAAAATTCAAATTCCCGGAGGGACCTGTAGAAGAAAATCTGTCTTTTGAAGTGTTGAAAGGAATAGCCATTAAATTTTTGTTAGTGGAATCAGATGCAGAATGAAAAATACATTAATCAGTTAGATTTAAATGGTAGCTATAGTCTGAGAAAAGCACACAGGGAGTTTTGCCATTCCTTAGGTGGCAGAGAAATTCTGTACTACAGAGGATTCAGGTAAAACTGTCAATAAAATTTGTGAAGCTTGAAAACTTTTGCTTGACCTTTAGGGGGCACCAAAACACAATGATGAGGACAGCAACATTTTTACAAAGGAGAGTGAAGCTATCAGAATATTTATCTTGTTTTATTGTCTTGGGGAGAAGTATCTACTTGGTATCATCAACAGCTGGATCCAAAAATCTTGGTGTCGTACTTTTCTTCCAAAGATAATATTTTTCTGGAGAATACTTAAGAACCCTCAGTTTATGGTTTCCTTCCGACTGTCTCCCTTGCCATTGAGGCCAAGGGTACTTTTTCCTTTGAGTTTTAGAAGTTTAGAAGTCTCTTCCAAAAGAATAAATCTTCAGATTTCTATGCATGATGGGTTAATTAGGTGGGTTTCTTGGGAAGGCTGCTGTTACCACTTAAAAGTTCGGGGCATCCAATCAATTCTTTGTGCCAGGTGTGGTGGCTCACGCCTGTCATCCTAGCACTCTGTGAAGCCTAGGTGGACAGATTGCCTGAGGTCAGGAGTTCGAAACCAGCCTGAGCAAGAGAGAGACTCCCTCTCTACTATAAATAGAAAGAAATTAATTGGCCAACTAATATATATATAGAAAAAATTAGCCGGGCATGGTGGCACATGCCTGTAGTCCCAGCCACCCCGGAGGCTGAGGCAGCAGGATATCTTGAGCACAGGAGTTTGAGGTTGCTGTGAGCTAGGCTGACTGATCCAGGGCACTCACTCTAGCCTGGGCAACAAAGGGAGACCCTCTCTTACAAAAAAAAAGGCGCTTCCCTCAGCAGAGACGGAAGCTCCCCCGCCCCAGGGCCTGTACAAAGCAGGGGGAGGACACGGGCCGCTGGACGGGCTGGGCGGCCCGCAAAACCCCTGCCACAGCCCCGCACCACACACTGCTTTGGTGTCGCAGCTGCTCCCCCAGTGGAGGCGCCAGAGGACGCGCGCTCGGGAGGCGGGTCCGCGCGGGGAGCGGCGGGGACCAGACTGGGCGCCACTCGGGCCACAGAGGCGAGAAGGCGGGACTGGCGGCGCGGCCACCTTGGCGGGGACCTGTCTGCTTGAGCCTTCGCAAGATTTCCTTCCGTGTGTTTGCGGGTTGGGTGGCGGGGACTGAGACCTGAGGAGGGAGCCCGGGTGACGAGTATAATGAGATCCCAGGTGCCTCTCCTAGAAGAGCATGTGGCACAGGGCCAGAGAGTTAGAGCCCCGAGCATCCTCCTGCCCTTGCTCCCACTTTGCCTCTCCCTCTGTCCTCCCCCCATCTCAGTCTCTGGCCTCGTGGTCCCTTTCCCTCCTCGCCCTTCTTTGGCCTCCTCTCACCCTCCCACCCACAGGCTTTCTGCCTCCTCCTGGAGAGGGTTGCCTTTTCTCAAAGGAAAGAAGTGCAGGAAACAGAAAATTTCTTCCTGCCAGGCGAAAAAAACAAGATAGAATGCAACCTGAGAAAAAAAATTAGAGTAGGGAATGCAATTAAACTGAAAAAGGGAAGCTGGAAGCCCCAGCCCGGGTGCCCAGGAGGGGAAGCATCAACTTTGACTGATCTGTATTGTGAAAAAAATCTGATTTCAGACTGGGCGGAACACAAAGAAGCTGAATCTCAGCCCTTACTAATATCCTGGCTTCTGGCTGTTGGCAATAAGAGGTCACTTTCTTGACATCCAACTTCTCCAGTGTTTCCTGTTACTTGCAGTTAAATGCGTGCCATGTGATTCTCATCCCTTCTACATACTTCTCATTTTGATTGATTGGGCTCAGCAATATTCCACTTTTGAAAGAAGGAGAATGATTTATAGGTAACTAATATTTTATCACATATCTTCAGAGCAAAAAGCACAAATATATCTTTTATTTCTTCAAATTTTACCTTCACATTTATTTAATCTTTTTCTTTTATTTATTTTTTTCCAGCATATTATGGGGATACAAATGTTAGCATTACGTATATTGCCCTAGTCTTCCCCGCCCCACTCGAGTCAGTGCTTCAAGCTCCTGTTGATTTTACTAATAGTCAGGTAAAATTTTCTTATAAGAGTCAGGTAGTAAATATTTTATGCTTGTTGTGGCATGCAGTCTCTGTCAAACTAATCACCTCAGTGACTGTAGCACAAAAGTAGCCAGAGATAATACATAAATTATGGGTCAGTTTGTATCCAAGAAAATTTATTTATAGAGAATGTTCATTTAATGTAATTTTTATGTAATGAATATTATCCTTGGTTTTGAGTTTTTTTTTAAAGCATTAAAAATGTAAAAATGGGCAGGCATTTATGCTCAACACCTAATAATCCAGCACTTTAGAGTCCAGCGTGGGAGGATCCTCTGAGCCTTAGTAGTTCAATACTAGCTCGTGATATAGCCAGATCTCATGTCTACAAAAAAATTTTTTATTAGCAGAGTGTGTGGCATGTGCCTGTAGTCCCTGCTTACTTGAAGGTGGGAGGTGAATGATCCTTGAGGCCAGAGTTGGGGGTTGCAGTGAGATCTGACCACGCCACTGGAGACCTAGAAACAGTGGAGAAGCCCCTGTCTCAAAAAAAAAAAAAGTAAAAGAAATGTAAAAATAATTCCTAAACTACAAGTTTAATAATACCACAAAACAGGCATGAAAAAGATTAGTCTATATCCAGTACTAATATTATAAACTTTCAATCAAATAACAGTGTGTTTTACTGATGCATGCATACAAATATTTATCAATGAATAGAGAACCAAAAATACCCATAAAATACACAGAAACCTTAAATTTTTGATTGAAGGGAGAACAACTCAGATTAGCTATAGAAAGATGCCTTATCAATCCAATGATTTTGGGTAAACAGGTAAGCCATTTAAAAAATCAATTGTGGCCCTCCCCAGTGCTTCACACCTGTAACCCCTTAGGAAGGCTGAGGGGGGAGGATTGGCTTGAGCCAGGAGTTCCATGTCCTGTGAGCTAATGATTACACACTGCACAATCTAGCCTGGGAAACAGAGCAAGACCCCAAGTCTTAAAAAATAAAATTCAATTGAACCATAATAACAACCAAAATTCAAGTATCGAGTTCCACTAATCAAATACTACTAAAGTCATTATAGTTATTGAAATGAGGAAGACCTTCCTAAGAATGAAAATAAAATGCAGACAGGCCATTACTTAAAACACATGAATTCAACCTCCATAAATATCAAAAGTGTCTACATGGCAATAACACCAAAGGAAAGGTAAAAAACACATGTACAGGCTGGGTCCGATGGTAGTGGGTTATCAGAATTATTCACATTAGTGTCACTAAGTTGGTATTCAACCCCCCACAATGCTAAAATTGTGACTGGCTTTTAAAAAAAATAATTATAAAAAATAAAACACATGACAAACTGGAAAGAAATACTTGCATACTCATATCATAAGCAAAGAAGCATAATTTTTAAATACATCAAGAGTACAGGAGGCTGGAGCAGTAGCGTCACACCTTTAATCCTACTCTCTGGAGGGCTGAGTGGGTATGATCGCTCAGGGTCAGGAGTTTCAAGACCAGCTGGAAGCAAGACCCCCATCCTACTAAAATGAAAGAAATGAAAGCTGGCAGCTAAAATATATAGAAAATATTAGCCGGGCATGGTGTGCTGCCTGTATTCCCAGCTTCTCAGAAGGAGGCTGGAGCAGAAGAGATACACTTGAGCCCAGTGAGTTTGAGGTTGCTGTGAGCTGGATGATACCACGGCACTCACTCTGGCCTGGGCAACAAAGCAAGACTCTGTCTCAGAAAGAAAAAAAAATGTACTACAAATCAGTAACAACACAATGAACAACAGCATGAATAAACAGTTCATAGAGGCCAGGCGTGGTGGCTGACCCCTGTAATCTACGCACTCTGGGAGGTCGAGGCAGGCAATGCTGCTCGAGGTTCAGGAGTTCGAAACCAGCCTGAGTGAGACCCGTCTCTACTAACAAATAGAACAGAAATTAAATTGACCAACTAAATAATATAGAAAAGAATTAGCCGGGCATGGTGGGCATGTCTGTGTCCCCTACTCAGGAGGCCTGAGGCACAGGAGGATTGCTTGAGCCCAAGAAGATTTGAGGTTGCTGTGAGCTAAGGCTATACAGCCCACAAGCACTCACTCTAGTCTGGGCAACAAAGTTAGACTCTGTCTCAAACAAACAAACAAAACAACAAAAAACATTCATAGAAAATGCATATTAAATTGCTCTTTATTAAACATGAGAAGAAATTTATTTAACTGCCACTTGTAAATAAAATAAATGCAAGTTAAAACTGATTAAGGAAACCATTTTCAATCTAATCAGCACCTGAAACAAATTACAAATATTCAATACCCACTGTTGGTGAGGGTAATGAGGAAACAAACTAATACATACATGGTAGAAGGTAAAATTGGTCCACAGTTAAGCAAGGAAACTTGTCTATATCCTCCATTAATGCACTTCTAGCAACTTTATCCCACCGGAGAAATGTGCAACAGAGATGTATTGCCACATTGCAGTACTGGCAGTAGTGGTTTGTTACAGACCAAAATTGCCAAATAAGACCTAGAAGTCCACCAAGAGGGATGGGTTGAATGTTACATCCATACAATGGAATACTATGTAGCTATAAGAAATAGTAGAAGTGTTTTATGCTCAAAAATGAAACCATCCACAACATACTATCTATTAAGTAAAAAAAATAAAACAGGCAACGGTGCTTAAAGAAGTGGTATTCTATTTTGTCATTTGTCTGAAAAAAAGAAGAAAAATTTGTAATATGTGTGCATTTATCTGTTTATTAAAATAAATACAAGAAATCAGAAACAAATTTAGAATGAATACTGAACAGCTGAAGGACAGTTGTTTGGAGCGTTATCTTGTTTCATAAAAGCACTTTTTCCTTTTTGAACACTATGAAGATATTACCTATTCAAACAAAAAAACAAAATTTTAAATTTAAATTAAAATGCCCTAGCAGATACTCAATGATCAGTTAAGTAAAAAGTAGTTTCAGACAGACAACATATTTTGGTAAGGCTTAAGTAGATATTTTCTTTAGGAAAATAAAAAATATTGCACCTATTGAATAGCAAACAACAATTTAAGCAAAAAGAAACCCAATAAGTGTTTTTATTGGGCCGGGCATGGTGGCTTTCACTTTGTACATCCTAGCCACTCTGGGAGGCCGAGGCGGGCAGATTCGCTCGAGCAGGTCGGAGTTCCAGAACAGCTGAGCGAAAGAGCTGAGGACCCCGTCTCTACTTAAATAGCAAAGAAATTAATTGCAACTAACATATATATAAAAAAATTAGCCAGGACATGATGGCACAGCCTGTAGTCCAGCTACTTAGGAAGGCTTTCCTGAGGCAGCAGGATTGCTTAAGCCCAGGAAGTTTCAGGTTGCTAGTGAGCTAAGGCTGACGCCATGGCACTCACTCTAGCCTGGGCAACAAAGCAAGACTCTGTCTCAAAAAAAAAGCCTTTTTTATTAACAGTCTCCTCCAGGGAATGCTTCAGAGAAGCAACCTTCAGTGGGACCATCACTTGCAGAGAGTGACAGCTAGGATTCCTTAAACCCCAGCTGAAGTATATCAGATTTTAAAACGGTAGCTGATGTATCTGAGAAAAGCACACATGGGTTTTGCCATTCCTTAGTGGCAGAGAAATTCTAGTACTACAGAGGTTCAGGTAAATAATGTATAAGAATTTGTGAGCTTGAATACCTTTTGCTTGACTTTATGGGGCACCAAAACATCATGATGAGGACAGCAAAAAATTTTTACAAAGAGATGATGCTATCAGAAATATTTAATCTTGTTTTTTGTCTTGGGTAGGATAATCTACTTGGTATCATCAAACATCTGATCCGAAAATCTGTGGTGTCGTACTTTTTCTTCCAAAGATAATATTTTTCTGGAGATACTTAAGAACCCTCAGTTATGGTTTCCCTCCGACTGTCTCCCTTGCCATTAGGCCAAGGGTATTTTTTCCTTTGAGTTTAGAATTTTTTAGAAGTCTCTTCCAAAGAAATAAATCTTCAGACTTCTATGCATGATTAGGTTAATTAGGTGGGTTTCTTGGGAAGGCCTGCTGTTAACCACTTAAAAATTAGGGCTCCAATCATTCTTGTGCCAGGTTGGTACTTCACTCTGTAATCCTAAGCACTCTTGGAGGCCTCCGGTGGAAGATGCCTGAGGTCAGGATTTTCGAACCGATGACGCAAGAGAGAGACTCCTTCTCACTATAATAGATAAGAAATTAATTGGCAACTAATATATATACAAAAAATTAGCC